CTACCCCCAGCCACAACAGGCACTTCACTAGGGCACAGCTGGGTAACAGTCACTTAGAAGATTCGGTCCCAAGAACCTGTCTTTGCCATTAGCTTTGTCTGAGGGGTCAGTGTCGATTAAACTTCAGCAGCTCAGGCTCATACTGGGCAGACCTGCTCTTCAGCCACAGTGCTTGAGAGCAGGGCCTAGGGGCTTCTTTTCTTTTAAGAACTGTCAGAGCAGGAGGTGGTTTTGTCCAGCATGTTCCAGTCATCTCAGCTGGGAACATAAGCTCAAAACCAAACCCAGCTTCTAACAGTCCCTCTGCCTCATAGCAGAGGCTGAGTGAGGGTCGAAGGTGCTTCTCCCCCTTTTCTGCACAGGGAGGTCAGTTATCTTAGAAGTTAAGAGGTGCGATCCGGGGTAGGGGATCCCTTGAGAAAGCCAAGGTTCCCATCCCAACTCTGCTGCCCATCACTCATGACCTATGGCCAAGAGCTCTGACCCTGTGAGCTCCTTGTCTGGAAAACTAGGTTGTACTTACTCTTTTTCACATTTTAACAGCTCTGAAGTTGGGATCATCTTAAAATCAGTTGCATCTTAGATTTATTGAAATAAGGCAGTTCCTGCCTCATAGTGCTATTTAAATGAGAAAGACTTGCAGAGGCCTGGCCCCTCATAGGTACCCCGTTAACAGAAGCACGTCCTGTTGTCATTTTTAGAACTGTTACTGTTACTATTATTTGCACATTCTGGGTCTTGAAGCCCTGACTTCCGTGTACTGAGCAGTGAGGTGATAGTGAAGAGCCATAGAAACATGGCCAGGACAAAGGATAAGGCTTCTGGCTGTCAGTCAGTACGAGGGGGCTGCTGCATGATTCATCCGCACAGCAAACATTTGTTGACCAAACATTAGTAGGCCTACATGGTAGGCTTGCAGGAATGACCCAGAAATGTGCCCACCCAGTGAGCTGCTGCAAAGTGCCTGGGGGCTCGTGGGACACCTTAGCACCTTCTGACTTGGCCTTTTGTCCCCTGGATGTGGACACTTCACGTTTGCAAGGTGCTTTGCCGTCATTGACCACAGCCTCCTGCTTCCTGGTTATTTTGCTTCCCTCTCTCTGAGGTTGGTCTCCACCTGGTTACATGTTTCTTTTCGTTGTCTTAAAGATGCTGTGGCAGAACTAAGCAAAGAATTTAAGGAAGCAGGGGAACCCATCACAGATGACAGCACCAGCTTGCATAAGTTTTCTTACAAACTTGAGTATCTCCTTCAAGTAAGTTACTCTATAATGTGCTGATTTCTGCCCTTTTGTCTCATTTCCCTCTGGCGACTCATCAGCATTCAGGATGTGGTCCAGAAAGCTCAGTGGAGCCATTAAGCCATCCTGGTTGGACCGAAAGTCAGAGCAGTCCCCATCAAGAGCTCAGGTCTCCGAAGTGCCATCCTGTAGGGAATCAGAAGATTGACCCTTAGAATGATTTTGGGAATCCAGAATATTCTTTAGAGATTTAGGTCAACTTAAGGCAGGTAACAAGGTCCCTGTATAGCAGGGACCTTAATTTGGAAGCAGTCACATCCCTCTTTGAAAGCCTGGTGAAAGCTGTGGAGTCTCTCCTCAGATAGACATGCATATGTGTACACAACCAGGCACATTTTCCAGGAGCCTGTGGGCCCTCTGATGATGATCCAAAGGCCTGTTTTAGAGTCTTACTGCCCAAAATGTGGTCCACAGACCATAGATCAACATCAGCTGGGAGCATGCTAGAAATGAAATGCATTCTTGGTTCCCACTCTGACCCCCCAAGTCAAGATCTCTGAGGTCTGCCCAGGAAGCTTTCTTTTAACGCTCACAGCACAATACCTGTGTCTGCTTGGTTCAAGTGCACTGATCTAGAGAACTCTGCAGACGCAGAAAAATACAGGCAACTACAACAGGAAGAAAATGGACCAAAGCATTAGCAGAAGTTAATATTAGGCATTATAATTTTTTCTTTCCTATTTTTTTGTTTTATCCAGATTTCCTAACAGTATATGCATGTCTTCTATGGTAAAAAAAAAAAAAGTGATATAAAATGTTACAAAAAGATATACCTGTACATCTTGAACACCATTAGTTTGCAATATCACATCCCACCAAGGCATACGTAGCAGGGGTAGGGATTGTCCGGTGCATGAAATCATTTGGCCTGGCCCTGCCAAGGCCTCACCAAAGAGAAGCAGTTCCAGCCATCACATTAGGGGTGAGTTCATTAAATGTTTGACAAATATAGCAGGCTAATTTTTAAGCTGATAATTTTGTATGGCCCACAAATGACATTATAAATATCCAAATGGCCCTTGGCGGAAAAAAGGTTCTCTACCCCTGGTATATTGGAGGAGATTAGATGCCTCCAGTGTGTTGCATGCCTTTTCAGCTGGTTCTGTTTTACATCACGAAGATATTTATGGACCTTTTTTTTTTTCCTCATGTAACTCGTTTTGGTTTTGGATTTGAAATGACTCATAGCTGACACTTATTTGAATTTATTGTATGTATTTTAAAACAGTGACACTTGAGTAACTGGGATAAAATGTCACTAACTCATTTCCCTAAGTTGAGACATAGTTAACACAGTTCATATTGCCCTTAAGACTTTTCACTTGTATTTCTTTATCATAAGGTGTTACATATCTTTATCAAAGTTGTAACTAGGGCTTTTAGTGGTCTTCCACCCAACTCTGTGCATGGAGATCTCTTCAAGAGATAAATCTTGGGTGGGGGGGCTTCCATTCCTAAATCTTACTTAGTCGTATGACCTTGAGCTAGTTAGTTAACCTCTCCCAGCCTCAGATTCCTTATCTGTAAAGTGGGGATTAAAACACCTTCATTTGACAATAAATAGAAATAATGCCCGTAAATGTCTTGCCCAGTATCAGGCAACCAAGAAGCTGCTGTTATTATTTATCATTTTATGAGATGAATGGCAGTGGGTTTGGACCGCCTCTCTCTGTCCCTTTCCCTACCCAGTTCGATCAGAAGGAAAAGGCCACCCTCTTGGGCAACAAGAAGGACTACTGGGATTACTTCTGCGCCTGCCTGGCCAAGGTGAAAGGAGCCAACGACGGGATCCGATTTGTCAAGTCTATTTCGGAGGTAAGCAGAGCAGTCAAGGACCTCACGTCTTCCTCTCGCTGGCCTTAAGCAGCCCTTTGCAGAGACCTTTGCTGCAGGCAGTCAGGTGAGGAAGTGGGATTTACGAGGGTGTGAAGACATCTAGTCCAGGTACACTCAGTGCCCAAGGTTAGTGCAGGGAAGCTGCCTACGTGAGTGTTTACCCAGCCGGGCTCTGTTATTAGACCAGGACCCACACGTGACCTAGTAGTGGGTTGTTCACACTGTGGTCTGTCCATGGTGCCCCTTGGGGATATACAGTATCTTTTAAAAATAAGTTTTGTCGATAAATTTTTAATGTTTGCTAGGCTGTTTCTCCTACGGTTTTCCCAGAAAACTTGGATTTGAAATGAGGAGAGTTATGTGGGATCTTAAGAGACATTAAATGCTGGTGTGCTAAGCAGCTTCCCACGTAAACTTCTGAGCCCCTAGAACAAAGTGCCACAGCTTCACTGTTTTAGAGAACTCTGGAACAGTCATTTTCCCTCCCCCCACTTCATTTCTGCCTCTCCCCCGCCTCCCACTCCTGAGGAATCTCTCTCATAAGCCTAGTCCATCTGGGAGTAAAGGACATTAGGGAGCAAGTAGCCCTCTAGATTTAGAACAGGCGGCCTAGAGGGTTTGACCGTTTCATCTTTTCAGTGTCTTGTCTGTAAGTTTAAAGACACTTGAAAGTCAGCAGCCGTGCTCCTCGGCTGGCCTCCTGGGAAGACCACAGTCAGGTGCTCTGGGAAGAATTCCTTCCCGACCCTGGAGTCAGGTGGTTTCTTCTTACAGAGAATGGCAGTTAGATACGCTGACATCGAGGGCTGGGTATTTTCCACCAGCTGCACCTCGACATCTGAGACAACAAGGAAAGATCCCGACTTGGAGGAGTTTGTTCTGCCAGTTTCTTTAATGCCTGTGTAGCGCACACAGGTCTTATGAGGTCTTGCCTGGTGGGACCCTCGGGCCCGTGATGTAGAGCAGTGTTGAATACACCCTAAATCTAGAGAGGCCGCCTACCGTTACCCTCCTCTTCATAACCTAGAAATAGATCTCATTGCCACTCTCATCTTGTACTCCTCACAACCAGAGCCTTCAACTGATGACTTCCAGCAGCTGGAGTCTGGAAATAAATTTAATCCTCATTGTCCAGGGTTATGAAATGCTTCCATCTGCTTTTTAGCGAGTTCTTTTTTCTCATAATGCAGTCAGACCTTTCAAGGCCAGGGAAACTGCCTTCTAGAACTAAATGCATTCCCTGTTTGTACAAACATAGTTAGGTTTTGGTGGCTGGCATAGGCCCCACTTGCAACAGGGTCCAGTTGTCTCATCTGTTGAAGACTCTACTCTCTGGGGCACCACTAGGCTTGGGATGTCACTAGGCAGGATGGGCTGCTGGATACTTGGGTTAACTTCAGTCAGCAATCAAGCGCCATCCAGCCCAGCAAGCCAGAAGGTAAAGGTTAATGGATAAGAGCATTGCACAGCTCCTCCAGCCCCGTGGGGTGGGAGGCAGCCATTTGGACTAAAGCAACCCAGGCTGGACCGCGTGTGTCTCACCACGATGTCAGGAGCAGGACCAGGTGCAGCTTGGCGCCAGGCTCCTGGCACATGGCCTGGCTGAAAGCAGAATTGGATCTCATGTACCTTACAGACTTCCTGTCCTTTGCTGCTGTTGTATCGCTTCCTGGTATGTGCATATGAGTTCCGATTAAATGCTAAAAAATTTCAGGAATTAGGTCATGAAAGTGGACCCATGGTTTCAAAGAATGGAAAGTAAAAAGCTTGTGCAGTACTTTCATTTGTAGTACAAGGAGCTGCTGCTGTCCTCCCCAAGGGATGTTTAAAAAGACCTCTTAAAATAAATAATCCCTTTTACACATATAAAATAAATTCCATTAATAGACCTGATTAAAAATATAGACTCACACGTTTTCCATTAAAAAAGTAAATGTCCTGCCCAGCCGGGCGTGGCTCAGTGGTTGAGCGTCGACCTAGGATCCAGGCGATCAGGGTTTGATTCCCGGTCAGGGCACATGCCCGGGTTGCGGGCTGCAGCCGATCAATGACTCTTTCATCATTGATGTTTCTATCTCTCTCTCTCCCTCTCCTTTCCTCTCTCTGAAATCAATAAAGATATATTTTTAAAAAAAGTAAATGTCCTAAATGCTGTTTAGTGGCCATTTTGCTAAGAAAGACAAGCTGCTTCCTTGGGAGCTCAGGGACATGGCTGTTGTGTGAGGTGCTCACTCAGTCCGTGGGGCCTCTGCAGAGGTGTTTATATGACTGACATGCTTTGCTTCACAGCGCCTGGCTCAACTGCCCGCGGCTGCCTGAGTGCCCTAGTGCTCGCCACTGGACACTGTGTTCTCACATCACTCATCAGTGGCAGAAGTACTTGGACGTGGCTTGTCATCAAGATTCTCCCCCAGGCGTCTGCCATGACTGACTCTGTAGATAGGCCACAGTGGTTTCTATGAAGCCAGGGATCAGACTGCCACTTATCTGCATCTCCAGGCATCCTGACTTTACCCCAAGCCCACAAAACTCACTCATGAAAATATGTCTGCAGCCTTTTTAATTCTTGAGGTTTTACACCTCTTTATTTTTTAAAATAACTTGATGTTGTGGCATCATTTCCTTGAGTCCACAGTCAGAAATCATATAGCACTGAGCTAAAAGCTGCTTGGTCCTCTGGGGCAGAAGCTGTGGCTGTATGAATCCTGATCTGCAAACTGGTCTCATGTGCTTCTGTGGCTGTCGCCTTGATTCCATCCATCTTGGTGGCTGAGTGTCTCCAGCTGGCAGAGTCTGACCAGCATACCCCATCTCCACAGCAAGCTTCCAGAAACCTTCAGGAGCCATGTGTTGGCACAGTGGGGAGAAGTCTCAAAGACAGGCCTGCACCCAGGCTCTCCATCAGCCTCAGACTTCCTGAAATAGAACCATGCTCGTTTTTACATTATCCCAGTGTGACTAGGCCACCTAGAGACACCCCTGCTCTCACCCCCTGGGTGCCTTCTGACTATGCAGTGAGTGGTATAGCTGCAGAGAAATCCGACTAGGAAAGCATTAACCACACATGCATTTTACTGATGGTTTCATGAGGACACAGAGGAGGCAGTTATCCATCCATCAGAACTTCCTCAAAATCCGCCTTACACATCTCTTCCCTTTACCCTCCTCTCTCCCCCTCCACAGGGGCTCAGCCAAGCCCTGTAGGCCTCTTTCCCTGCAGCTCTTTTCCCAAGACCCAGAACAGCCCAGACATTAGCCACACGGAGACCAGCTCTTGCTCAGGCTCATTCCTGGTGTGAGAAGCGCTTTATCTACCTCCAGGTTTTATTCTAAATATTCCAAATTAAATTATACAGTTTCTTCTCTGACCCCAAACCCAGAAGTTCTGATGGAGTAGAGGAGGGACAGTGACAAGGCAGGGGAACCCACGGATGTTGGAGAGCCTCTCGTGAACATACCTTTCTTAACATGTTTGCTGGAGTCTATGGATTATTCTTGGATGGACGCCTGGAGGAAGTTGACCCACTTTAGGCCACGGTTCTGTGTCCTTTGAGGGACATGTATAGGGTAGAATCAGGTGACGTTCTCTGCCCTGTTTCTGTTTTATGCAGTCTGTCTATGAGACCAGGTGTCTGTTAAGACCTAGGCTAACAGTTCTTCATTTCTTGCCTTCTTCTTCCAGCTCCGAACATCTCTGGGGAAAGGAAGAGCCTTCATCCGCTACTCCTTGGTGCACCAGCGGTTGGCAGACACCCTACAGCAGTGCTTCATGAACACCAAGGTGACCAGGTGAGTACACAGCAGTGCTAGGCTGACCCCGCCACTCACAGAGGAACCCAAGTCCCCTGGTTAATATAATGACAGCTGTAGCGCCTCTCTGTGTCGCACCCTGACACAAGCAGAGCCCTTCCATACCTGTCACCCTCTTCTCCCCTCTCTCCCACAGTCCTTGACACATGTGGGGCAGGTAGCACTGAGAGTTGACAGGTGAGGGAAATGAGGCTCAGGGAGGCTCCAGATGCCTTCTCTAGGCCCCACCAATACTAAGTCTGCATCCTAAAGCAGGAACTTGGGTCCAGGTTGCCAGGTAGTTTTCCCTTGGGGGTGGCATGTCCTTGGTGCTGGCACTAATGAATGGACATACCCCACTGGTCACCAGTTGGTTGCGGGCCTGGCCTCTCAGCAGAATCACCTGTGAGTTGAGAGAACCTTCCTCATACATTTGATTTGCAGGTTCTAGGCGTTTGGTGAAAACTGTCATAAACAGCTTGGCTCCCAGTGAACCACAGCTCATGGGCGTCAGCCAAGGAGCTCTTTAAACTCACCAGTGTGTCCTTTTAAAATCTCCCTGCTCCTGGGAAGCGAAACAACAGACACCTCTCAGCGCAGGTCTTTTGTTCTTTGTCTTGAAATTGGTGTCAGGACAGAAATTAGCAGCGAGCTCCATGTCCTGTATTGAACGCTCCAGAAAGAGCAGGAGGAGAGGATATTTATCTTTCAAAAGGAATGTTCTTTCCCCTATAACTGCCCTTTCTGGGCAAGTAATGGAGATTTAAGGTTTCTCATATCCTTTTTGGGAAAATAGATATGATATAAATAATAACTATAAGTTTCTAGTTCATCTTAGCAATTTCCATGAAGCAGAGCCAGCTTACTGGAGAGTTATGAGCTCCTGCAGCGAAAAGCAGATGGGGGTGGGGGTGCGTGTTGTATCTGTTTACTTTTTACTTGAGTAACCTAAGTTAGCAGTGGAGGAGGCAGAGCCACGCTGAGCAGACTGGTTAAATTCACCTCTTCCTTACCTGCATCAGCCTTGTAATCGTACCTTGTTATGTTGCAGTGACTGGTACTATGCAAGAAGCCCCTTTCTGAAGTCAAGGCTGAGCTCTGACATTGTGGGCCACCTCTACGAGCTGACTGACGTTCAGTTTGACCTGGCATCCAGGGGCTACGACTTAGATGCTGCCTGGCCGACGTTTGCCAGGTATTGTGACTGATTGCTTGGTTAAAAGATGGGGGGCGGGGAGGGATGTTTGAAGTTTTGAAGATTGCCACCAGTCTACTCAAAGCACTTTTGTTTGCTCAGTAAATACATAAAACTTTGCAACTCTTACTCCTGTTAACTTTACAGATTTTGTTTGTGACTCACAGTAACGTCTAAAGGCTCTAACCTTAAGCTAACCTAACTGGCTAGGTAGTATGAGTCAGTGGAAATGTATATGCAAAACCCAAGGTTTTTATATGTATTAAGGGACTTGTGTGCAAGTCTGGGGAGGAGCAGATGGGCTTTTTCCCATTTGTGTTCTTAGGGAGTTATGGAGGCCTTCCAGGCAGTAAGAGGGAGTGACAGCTACAGCCCATCCATGGAAGGGTTGCTGCTGTGTTTTCACTTTTTACAGGGGTATGACACTCAACACGTCTTCCAGCTGAATCCTCCCAACCACTCCAGGAGGGAGGGGCTGAGGACACAGCCTCAGAGAGGAGGGACTTGCCCAAAGTCGCACAGCTGCTGGGCAGCAGGGCCAGGGTCCCAGACTCAAGTGCAGCATTCTTTGTTTTACTTTCTGTTAGGCCTTTTAAATTTCAGTTTTCATGTTTTGTATTAGGACATGCTGTCTATGTGGAGAATATAGTACTGAATATAGTGATACCCATGTACCAACCACCAGGATTTAGTAGCTAACATGTTGCCATATTTACTTCACATGTCTTTTTGCGGCTTACTGACTTTGAAGTTACTTCGGAATTACAGAAAAGCTGCAAGAGCAGCTCAGAGGACTCACCTGCCCGCCCCTCGACTCCCCGCCTGCCGGCGTTTCACCCCAATTGTTTCACCCTCTTCAGCTGCATTGGTTTCTTGCCTGCACTGCTGGAGAGATTTTCCTTTTCTCCAGTGCACTTCACTGCATTTCCTAAAACCAAGGATACAACTCCAGCATGATTATTAAAATCAGGAAACTAACATCGACACAACACTGCTGTCTAGTCTGCAGGCCCTATTTAAAAACTAAGCGTTGTCCCAGTAATGTCTTCTAATTCAGGACCACATGGTGCAGTTCATTGTCTACATCTCTAACTTGGGACAGTTCTCTTTCACTCAGTTTTTGTTTTTCATAGCACAGGCATTTTTTTAAGGTATAGTTATTTTGTAAGATTTTCCTGAATTGGAGTTTGTCTAGTGTTTTCTCATTGTTAGACTCAGGGTGAGCATCTTGGGCAGGAATACCTCCGATGTTGTGCCCTTCTCAGCGCTATCTGGGGACACACTGTGTTGATTTGTTTCGTTACGAGTGCCATTAACCACAATCACTTGGCCCAGGTGGCGTTTGCTGGGTTTCTCCTAAAGTGACTGTTTTCTCCTATTGCGGTTAATATGTATCTCGTGGTAAAATACTTTGAGATTAGCTCACTATACTGTTTCATCTAATAAATCTCTCGCCTGTCAGTTTTCGTATCCATTGATAATTGAGGCAGGAATTGTTTTACCACGTGCATACATGAATATTTCATGCACATGTCATTTTATTTGGCACACACTGAGTCGTGAGATGGCTGTCCTTTTGTGACTTGCTTTTCCTACTCTGCATTGTTTCTGAGGTTTTCATTCGTACTGGCACGTGGAGCTCTATAGATGCAGAGTAGGGTCCGCAGCCCCCTCTCAGGGCAGTGTGTAGCACAGCTTTGCCTGTCGTTTGTATGTCGTCTGTGGCTGCTTTCATCCTGCAGGGGCAGAGTCGAGTTGTGGCAGAGACCATAGGCTTGCAAGCCCAAAATATTTATATTTATGTCTGGCCCTTTCCAACAAGATTGCTGACCCATGGTGTGGAGTCTTATGTTGTGTGAATAAACCGCAGTTTGTCTGTTGCCCCAGTGATATAGAGTTAGGCTGCTTCCACTTTCTCCCCGACTGCAGACAGTGCTGCCAAGAACAGCCCATATGTCTCCTGTGCACATGTGTATGTGACTTGTCTGTAGGGTGGATACTGAGAAGTAGAATTGCTGGGTTGTGGAGACCAACACATTTTAAAATACAGTAATTGTAGATTAAGGAGAAGATCCTGCTTAAATAAAAATGTGTATAGTCTGCGCTATGCCTACCAAACGGGAATTGTCATACAAGTCTTGTGTTTCTAGGCTGTCAAGTAGAACTTTCTGCAGTGAGGGAAGCGTTCTTGTATCTCCACTGTCCGGTGCAGCTATCTAAGCTAGAGCAGGCCCATGGAGCAGTGACCATGAGCCCCTGTGCACAGTGTGACCTTTACTTACCTCGTGGACTGCTCCTTCCTCCTCACTAGCACACAGACTGTGGCGGGCACCAAAGTTAAGGAAAATGTAAACCAAAAATTGGGACATATTATGCTTACTCAGTTCTTTTCTGGCACTGGGAGGAAAGCCATTGTGTTTAAACTTTAGCAGTGGAGTCCATTTGTTACAGACCAATGTAAATGTGCTCTTCGTACTCTGTCTGGGAGGACATTGCCCCTACCACCATTCGTGTGTGTGTGTGTGTGTTTCCTGCTCTGATATAGGCATGTCTGTTCTGTGGCCCTGCAGGAGGACACTGGGCCCTGGCTCTTCTGCGTTCATGTGGAAACCCCCGAGCCGAAGTTCCAGCATGAGCAGTTTGGTGAGCAGCTACCTACAGGTATTGCCAGAAAAGCTGGGCATTTCCTCGCCTTCATGTCAACCAGGGTTTGTTCTTGCCCCTCCAGTTCAGGGTGATGCTTTCAGAAACCTTTTGTTCCACCCAGAGCAACAAATCCTCAGTTATACCCACTGTTTTCTAAAGTCCAGGTTTTTATAACCAAATAGAATTTAGGCCTCTTAAAAAGTAAATTCTTTTAAAAGCTTTTAAAGTATTTGAAAAGAAGCAGTTTAACACTGTGGTTAAAAGCAGCTAAGTCAAATCCTGACTTTTGCCTACCAACTGTGGGAAGATGACTGGCCCTCTGGAAGTTTCTGCTCTCTCATCCATATGATGGGAATCGTAAAATCACTGTAGCTGATCAGGTGGCTGTGCAGATTGAGTGAGGGAGCACGTATACGGTGCGTAAGGGCTTGACACAGCAAGTGTTCAGTAAATGTTAGTGGATAGGTTCGTTTTGTTAGAAATGTGAATGTGTCATAGCTGTATATAGTCTTGTGGGAAAGAACGCTGAAATTAACAAAATGATAAAAAGAATCAACTTAAGCAGCGTATTAAGAGCAGAAAATTAACTAACCCTTTACCCTCTTTGTGGTCTAATCACAACAGGAGCTGTGGGAGTAGTGCAGTGGTGGACAGTAGTTTAAATATAGCCTCAGTTATTTACGAGCCAACATCATCATGTTAAACACTACAGGAGGCTGAATGGGAAATACGAGTTCTGAGTCTCGGGGAGCTCACGTGTGTGGCATTTGGTCTTCAGGATGTGCTGCTCTCAGGTGCTGTGAGCAAAGGGGCTCTTGTCCTTTGAATAGCTTGATGGACTAACCTTAGGTCATGTAATTGCTATATTTTTACTACTGTTTTCATTAAACTCTAAAGCTTTTCCAGGTAGCCATGTAGTTCCATCCCAGTGCCACTTTTTTGTTTTGTGTGTCCTGTTTCCCCCCAGACTCAGGAAATGACCTCCAGCTTTGACCTGAACAGCCCCTTAAACAACGAGGCACTGGAGGGCTTTGATGAGATGCGGGTGGAGCTGGACCAGCTGGAGGTGCGGGAGAAGCAGCTGCAAGAGCGCATACAGCAGCTGGACAGAGAGAACCAGGAGCTGAGGGCAGCTGTCACTTCACAGGGAGAGCAACTTCAGATGGAGAGGGAGAGGGGTCGCTCTGCAGCCGAGGACAACATTCGCCTCACTGGCATGATGACTGAGCTACAGAAGCAGTGGGAGGTCACCCAGGCCACACAGAGCACCGTGGAAGAGCTGCAGAAGTGCCTGCAAGCTCTGGAGCTAGGTGCCATGGAGAAGGAGGGAGATGACCACTCTGCCCTGCGGCGGCTGGAATCCATGCTGCACCACCTGGCGCAGGAGCTCGAGGCCATGAGGGACTCACTGGGCAGGAAGAACCAGCTTCTGGCTAATGTCCCAGATCTGCCGGGCATGGCTGAGCAGAAGGCAGATGTGGCCCTGGACACACAGGGGCAGCAAGAGCATAACCTCTGTGCCTCTGCCCTGGCGATCCAGGAGCTGGGGGAGAAACTTCAATCCCTAGAACAGGAGAGCACCAAGGTCCAGGAGCTCAATAGGCAGCAGAGTGCCCAGCTGGAGCAGCTGGCCAAGGAGCTGCAGCTGAAGGAGGAGTCCCGGGCTGGCCTGGAGCGTGTGGTGAGAGAGATGGCCTCCCTCCAGGAAGAGCTGTCTGGGAAGAGGAAGGAGACAACCCAGCTCCGGCGAGGGCTCCAGGAGTCGCTGGCCCACATGAGCACCATGGAGGAAGAGCTGGCAGAGGTGAGGCAAGAGGAGCGGCGGCAGCGAGAGGAGAAGGAGCTGCTGCAGCGGGAGGCCAGGTCCCTGATACGGCAGCTGCGCCTCCTGGAGACCCAGCTGGCACAGGTGAGCCAGCACGTGAGTGACCTGGAGGAGCAGAAGAAGCAACTCATCCAGGACAAAGACCGCCTCAGCGAGAAGGTGGCGATGCTGGAGCGGCTTGCTGCACAGCCGGGCCCAGGCCTGCCCGTGGAGGATGAGAAGAGAGAGGCTCTGGGCCTGCAGGAGGGACTGGTGGATGGTACCAAGATGCAAGGGAGCAGCCAGGAGGAGGAGCTGCAGCAGGCTAACAGGGAGCTGGAGAAGGAGCTGCAGAGTATGGTGGCACGCAACCAACTCCTGGAGGACAAGCTGCGGGCCCTGCAGGCTGATTACCAGGCACTACAGCGGCGGGAGGCAGCCATCCAGGGCTCCCTGACCTCCCTGGAGTCCAAGCAAGCCAGCATCCGGCAGATGGGTGACCAGATGGAGGCCAGCCTCCTGGCTGTTGTGAAGGCCAAGGAGACCATGAGAGCCCACATGGCAGAGAAGGAGGCTGCCCTACAGAGCAAGGAGGCTGTGTGCCAGCAGCTGCGGGAGCAGATGGAGCAGTGCCGGCAGCTGGCAGAGGCCCGAGAAGGGGAGCTCAGGGCTTTGGAGAGCCAGTGCCAGCAGCAGACCCAGCTGATTGAGACCCTCACAGCAGAAAAAGGCCAACAGGTGCTCAGCCCACCTCAAGAAAATGCATCCCAGGAGCTAGCTGCCCAGCTGGCCCTAACTCAGGCACAGCTAGAGGTCCATCAGGGGGAGGCTCAGCGAATGCAGGCTGAGGTGGTGGACCTCCAGGCCAAGCTCCAGGCAGTCCTGGGTGACCAAGAGAAGGTGCAGAGCCAGCTGAGTGTGACTGAAGCAACTCTGCAGGAGCACAAGGTCCTTGTGCAGCAACTGAAGGAGCAGAACGAAGCCCTCAACAGGGCCCATGTCCAGGAGCTGTTGCAGTGCTCAGACCAGGAAGGGACACTGCAGGAGGAGAGGGCCTATGAGGCCCATCTGAGGATGGAGGAACTCCAGACCCTGCAGGAGGAGCTGTCCCAGACTAAATGCAGCTCCCAGGAAGCCCAGCTAGAACATGCTGAGCTGCAGGAGCAGCTGCACCGGGCCAACACAGACACTGCTGAGCTCGGCATCCAGGTCTGCGCACTGACGGCGGAGAAGGAGCAGATGGAGGGGGTATTGGCTTGCGCCATCCAGGAGCTCCAGGATGCCAAAGAGGCAGCCACAAAGGAGCGAGAGGGCCTGGAACATCAGGTGGCAGGCCTGCAGCGAGAGAAGGAGAGCTTGCAGGAGAGGCTGAAGGTGGCCGAGGAGGCGGCCAGCTCACTGCCTGGCCTGCAGGCCCAGCTGGCCCAGGCTGAGCAGCATGCCCAGAGCCTTCAGGAGACTGCCCACCAGGAGCTTGACACCCTCAAGTTCCAACTGAGCACCGAGATCATGGACTACCAGAGTAAACTTAAGGTAATCCTAGCCTTGACCATGGGGCTGCACCTGTCTCCTGCGGCAGGACCTGCTGGGTTCATGAGGGAAGAGGATGTACCTTCAGCTACTTGGCACATGAGGACCTAAGAATGTCCTGAGGGCCCAGGCAAACATAGTCCCATCCCACCACCATAGCTCACAGCGTCCTCTGCAGGAACGTGCTAGAGGCGTGACATTGGGGAATGATGCCTTAGCCCAGAAGTCTAAACTGAAAACCATAGCAGACAAGTTTGGCCCACACAGAATTTTTTTTTTTTAATTATTAGTCAACATTTTAAAGAGCAGGGTGTTTACAAATTCAGTTTGGGTGCTTTTGACATCTTGAGATATCTTACAGCCTGTGCCCTCATCCCCAGTGTGGCAGCGGTCAGCAGGAGCTGGGTGGGGGCTGCCCACGTTAAAGGGGACATGCATCCTCTGGTATTTCCTTGCAACCCTTTATGTAGCTACCCAGCCCTTTTGGGCATGTGAGTTTGAGACCCCTGCTGTAGCCTCTATAACCTGCTGCAGATGCCAGCAGTTCCTGGGTGCCTTGAGTCCTGTGTCCCTTCAGGTGCCATTCTGATAGCAGGTGCTGTTGGGGGGAACTAACTCAGTTATCCCAGGGCCCTTGGAATAGATGAGAATGGCAGTTACCATTGCCTTTGATACTGCACAAAGGAGTTAAGAGTGAGGACAGCTTTGGCTTCCAATGCTTATCCCTTGTCTGTCTGTATCCAGGTCTGCACTCTCAGGCCACTTCTGACACTGCTCTTACACAACTATTGTGTTTGTTTCCACAGATCTGCCTCCTACTCTGTCACCCCATCCTATGTAGCTCCACGTGGCTCAAAGGCCATGTTTTCCCTTGCAGAAATGAAATTCTAAGTTTGGGGACCAAGCTAAGTCTCTTAGTAAGCTTGAAGGGGTTTGTTACCAATGAATCCCAAAGCTTACTCAGTTTGGGGGGGAAATAGAGAGAGAGGTAGCTTGTTTTTTACCCATTTTGGGGATGTGACTGAGGGAGTCTCAGAGCAAAGACCCCACTTCTGTGATCCCTTTCTCGTCCTCTCTAGACTGCCAGTGAAGAGTGCAGGAGCCTCCAGGGCCAGCTCGAGGAGCGAGGTCAGCAACTTCGGGCCGCCCAGGAAGCTGTGGGGAAGCTGGAGGTAGGCCTGTCCCCAGGGTGTGCACCTCTGGGGGCCCTGATCAGTGGCAGGCCACCTGGGCTGGGGAGACCGGTGTGGTAGCCTCTGCCTGGTCATTTCTGCTCTCAGTGTGTGGACCTTTCAGGGGTGAGGGGATCTGGTGTGGTTTTCGCTGGACCATTGAGGGGATCCCTGTAGGGCTTCCAGTTCCCAAGTTGAAGCTGTCATCAGTTCACTTTTGTAGACACCCCAAGTTTGTATCACAGTCCCTTTTTTCACTCTTTGGACACCTGGCTGATGCTGCCAAATGTGTTTTTCACCTAGCCTCATGGAAAGGAAATAAGTTGTCCTTCTTAGTCATCCCTGCAGACGTGCTCTAAGTCAGTAATTCTGAACTGAGCAGGAACAGGGCTGGTTTCTGAAACCACAGTCTTCAGGGCAGTGACTTTTTTTTAACTGAACCCTGCTCCCTGCCATCCCATCTCCACCCCCACCATAAGAGATCCTGATACCTACCACCCCTCCAACTGCCACAACCAGTCGCAGTTGATGCTTAAGGCACATAACAAATCAGAGTGTGTTGCACTCCACAAATGTAGAACAAAGGTTCTTGGCTTCTTGAACTTTAAAACAAACAAAAGTCCCTCCAGTTAGAAGTGACCGTTAGATGGGGTAGAGAGCACAACAGTCACTTTATGGTGCCCGGCACATGCTTTTGCAAGCTGAGCGTCTTCTCACCGGTGTCCTGTGCCAGGCTGCCCAGGCAGACATGGGAGAGAAGCTGAGCCACACCAGCAGCCACCTCTCAGAGTGCCAGGCCGCGCTGCTGGAGAGGAACGAGGAGGGAGCCGCCCTGCGCGAGAACTTGGACAGGTGGGTGACGCCAGCCTCCCACATGGCCTGTGCTAGTTTTCAGGACGGGGGTGCTGGGTGCAGTCATTTAGAAAGTCAGCCACTCATGAAGTTGAAGAAGTCCTTTTTCAAGAAAAGCCACAGACTCAGAGAGTGCGTGTGGCGGATGCACCACTGAGAACCTGGCGTCTGCCTGTCACAGCGCTGTAGACAGCAGGGCCCTTCTTACCCTGGCAGGCGTATGCTGTCCAGTAACGTCATGTTCTGGAAAAACTAACCACAAGTAAAAGTTGGCATATAATAATGGTAATAAAAGCAGCAAACGCTTAAATACTGCCTGAAATGGAGCGGGCGTACTTTGCATGTAGTTGCCCATTCAGTCCTCCCAACAGTCTGTGCAGATGGAGTGCCTGCTGTGTGCCCGGCACCGTGCCCCATGTAGAGTTGCAAAGACACATGGAAGACTGTCCTCCATGTGGTCACCTCCAGGAAGCTGTGGCCCTCTGTCCTTTCTGTCCTGACTCCTTTTTCCTCTTGCAAATACCCCCATCACTGTCCACTGAGCCTTGTCCTACAGGCTCCTCTTCTAACCTCGGTCCCTGCCTAGAGTTCAACTCAACCTGGGTGCTCTGAGTGACCTGAGGTTACCTGCTCTTCTAGAATGCCCCTTGTATTTGGTGTTTGGGGGGGTGAAGAGTTTGAGTGTGTGAGGGGCTCTTCGAGACTAGGGGAGTGCACCACCTGCGAGCAGGCAGTGCCAAGAGTCTCCTTCACAGTGTGGGGGGTGGGGAAGGCTGGGAGGCTGGCGAGACCCCTCAGTAGAGGCCTGGGTCACTCCAGAGGCATAGGGGAAGCTGGGAGTAGTAGGTAATCAGAAAAAGTACTGCTCTTCCCCCAGGACCCAGAAGGAACTTGAAAAAGCCATGACAAAAATCCAAGAGTATTGCAGCAAACTCTCCCAGGAGGTGACAGACCGGGAGAAGAATGACCAGAAGATGCTGGCAGACCTGGATGACCTGACTAGAACCAAGAAGTACCTGGAGGAACGGCTGATAGAGCTGCTTAGGTGAGTGCAGGGGTGTAGCAATAAGCAGGTGGCTGGGGTTTTCCCCCAAGCCTGGTGTTTCTTTAAAGAAATGCAACATTTCTTGAAAGGAATCTTCTTGGGAAATGTCCCCCCACCCCATCTGCTTGTGTTCTGTTGTTAAGTTCCCCCTCCCCCCAACACACACTCTTGTACAGGTTCTGCTCAGGCCCTTGGCAGCCTTGTGAGAGTGGATTTCAGTGTCCCACCATTGCTCACCTGGGTTTGTTCGGGAGGGTCCTACTAAGTCTGCAGCTGATATGGGTGACAGGAGACCTAGAGTGTGGTGTGCTTCCAAGGCTCAAGTGAATTTTCCTTCTGTGTCTTGGGAAATTTGGAGTCTGTCTCTTGAAAGGAATCAGGGATAATTCTCTGGTTTTCATGGATTCTTCCTTTTTTTCTAATGTGGCTTTGTCCCAGGGACAAGGATGCACTCTGGCAGAAGTCAGATGCCCTGGAATTCCAACAGAAGCTCAGTGCTGAGGAGAGGTGGCTCGGGGACTCGGAGGTGAACCACTGCTCCGACTGCAAGCGGGAGTTCAGCTGGATGGTGCGGCGGCACCACTGCAGGTCAGCTGGCAGCGCTCGGGCCATCACCGCCGGCCCTGGCAGGGTCCAGAACCAAGGCAGATGGCTCTCACAGGCACTGATATTGAGGCTCACTGCTCACAGAGAGTATGGTGCCTTTTGGTTGTAAGGGACCTGGACAAGGAGGGTGTATTAGGCAGGGTAACAGCAGGACACTCAGGAGTCCCTGGAGGGGAAAAGCATTTAATACAGATATGTGGGTGCAGTTAAGGGGACCCACAGGGATGTGGAGCACCCAGACCTACAGCCCTGGACCCTTCCTCAGCCTGCAGGGACCAGAGGGGAAACGGTATTCCTGGAACCCAAGGAGAGTGGGGTCTGAGGCTTTACTGGAAGAACACAGAGAACAGATACTCCCCTAAGGCCCAAAGAAGGGTAGGCAAAAATGAGTCTGGGATTGTGGCCAGAGCAGAGGGAGTTCATCAGCGTAGGCCTGGAGGGGGCTGTAGGCCTGGAGGGGGGCGTCTGTTGTCTCTCAGGGCCTCGGCCACACCCGAATTTTTGTGTCAGGGAAGATGGACTCAGCCACACACTTTATCCCCTGGTCTCCCACGACCTTAGGAAATAAAACATTCTCCCACTAAGCTTACCAGGATGGCTTTATTGGCATTTTATCAAATGTGCCTTAAGGCCACACTCTGAAGTGGGGGCAGAGCCAGGTGTGTTGAGAGCCACATGGCATCCAGAACCCAACACAGCCCCATTCTGGTACTGAGCAGACAGCATGAAGCCCAGAGCTCATCGTCCTCACAGCGCATGCTTGTTTTGTCCCCAGGTCATGTGGCCGCATCTTCTGTTACTACTGCTGCAACAACTATGCTGTGACAAAGCATGGGGGCAAGAAGGAGCGCTGCTGCCGAGCCTGCTTCCAGAAGCTCGGTGAAGGCCCCGGCTCCCCAGACAGCACCAGCTCGGGCACCAGCCAGAGACAGCCCAGCCCCACCCTCTCACCAGCCCAGCCTGGGCTGCAGGTCACTGGAAGCCAAGGTCAGGCTCCTGCTCCCGCCCTTGGTGTTCCCTAGGTGCCACCACCTCCCCCACCACCACTATGCCATCTTGGCTAGTAAGCTGTAACAAGCTCAGTTCAGTGTTTTCCAAATCTGGGCATTAAAGAACTGGTAAAAATGTAGTGCCACCAATTTGAGACTTCCTTTTTGATGTAATAAGGATTGAACGAGAATTGAAAAGGGAATAACTTTCTCTTGGTATGATTCAGCCCTGTGAACGTGAGGTATGGGTCCCTGTTAGCTCACAGGCTGCCAGTGGGCTGTACCTCATGCTTGGGAGATGCCGTCTTCCACAGCCTCGGCCCTGATGTTCCACCCTCTCCTAGAATAACCAGAGGCCAGGAGTTGTGTCTGGAGATGACCGCATCCTTCACTCTTCCTGTGGCTCACATTCCATCTTAGTGGCCAAGAGGATGTGCTCTCCTTCATGCCTCCACTTGGCGCAGAAAAGGAAGTGGGATTAGGTGCCTGCTGTTCCTGCTCCAATCATGGCCTAGCTTACCAGCCTTGGCTGCCCTCGGGGACTGGCCTGTGGGTGTACTGGGCGGAAGAGCTGGCAGGGAAGGGCAGAGTGAGTCTCACCTCTGTTCACACAGGCTGCCTCCTGTGCTGGTCCCTATGGATCCAGGGCAGCCAGCTCTCTTTTAACTGGATCATCAAGGAGGTTGGCAGACCCCAATATTCATATTGGGTACAAAGAACTCATTTGGGAGAGTGTGCTTTAGACAACTTTAGTATTTCTTCAAATCATTTGCTCATTTGAATTTTTTTTAATTATTGAATTTTGAGAGTACTTTATATATTCTGGGTACAAGTTATTTACAGATATGCATTTTACAAATATTTTCTCCCAACCTATAGCCTGTCTTCATTTTCTTTCAAAGAGCAGAAATTTATAATTTAGATGAGGTCCAGTCTATCCATTTTTTCCCCATGGATCAGTTTTTTCTTTCCTTTGTGTATCACATGCTTCTTTGCTTAACCCAAGGACTCAACGACTTTACATTTTTTCCTAGTAATTTTATAGTTTTAGGTTGCACATTTGGGTCTCTGATCTATTATGAGTTCACTTTTGTGTATAGTGCAAACTCTTAATAGAGATTCATGTATTTTTTTGCATATGGTTGTCTAGTTGTTTCACTACCATTGGTTAGAAAGTGTATTCTTTTCCTACAGAATTGCCGTTGCATCTTTGTCAGAAATCAGTTGAGTCTTCCAATCCATGAACATAGTATAGCTCTCTGTTAATTATGGTCTTTTTTGATTCCTCTTAGTGGAAATCAGTTTGGGTTCCTGATGCTCAGCTGTATCTGGGTCTAGACAAAGAAACCAATCCCTGGTCCCCCCTTTCAGCCTGTGCCTCAACCCTTTTATTATGTAGACTTCAGACAAGAGGAAGAACATTCCTCTAAAGCACGGCCTGTCTCAGTAGCCATGTGGCAGGGCCAGCTGAACTTGTAGTTCATATGAACTGCAGTCTTTTTTTTTTTCTCTGACTCACTGGTGGTAGTTCTAGTGACAACAGAAGGTGGCACTGCCAGAGCACTGAGGTCACTTGTTTTGATTTCTGACATTTCCTTTCTTCTCTTTTGTCTCTCTGCCTTCCTCCCTCCCTACCTGCCATTCTTTCTTTTACCTCAGACCTGCCATCACATTTTTCATTACATATGCAAGAGAGTGCTTGTGGGTAGGTGACGTGCACAGGAGCATGCATACGACATCCTTCCTGCCGAGTGGCCTGCAAAGCTGAACACAAGCCCCTGGTCAGAAACACAACAGTTGTTACAACTCCTTGAGCAGAGGAAGGGTCTTTCCCACCCCTCAACCCCCGTGGATTGGGATGAAATGCAGGTCAGAGGGAATCCTACTTTCAAAGAGGCATGGGTAGGTACTGTCTTATGGAGCAAGGATTCAGCAGCACAGAAGTGTGTTTACTTTTCTGTTAGCATCTTTCCTGATAAGGTTTTGATACAGTTTTCCCCCTTTTAAACAAGGGACCTCAGGGACTGTGTAAGAGCTTGAAACTTCTCTAAGCCCCTGACTAAAGGGCTTAAGAGAAATCTCCTAAGTTGTGCATTCCATTTCATCTATAGTCCTCACTCTGCTCTTCTGACGTGTCCCAACAGCCCTTTCTTACACATCTGGACGGAATACAGTCAGTTGGGTGAGCACTTACAGTGTGTCCTGGTGGCTCGTCCTGCATAGCTGCACTTCCTCCTTCCTTGAGGCTCTCCCCATCCTGTGCATAACGTGTGTTTTTCTCTTCTCTCCTGATATGCCCCTGCGGTCCAGGCACAAACACAGACTTCAGATTGCCAGACGACACCATGTTCGACATCATCACAGATGAGGAGTTGTGCCAGATACAGGAGTCCGGCTCTTCCTTGCCTGAAACACCCACTGAAACCGATTCTCTTGACCCAAATGTGGCTGATCAGTGAGTAGGCGTCACCTCCATTTCCTGAGTGCTCATTAAATGCCTGGCCCTTGTGCTTTCTTATCAAAGGACCAGGAAAGTTTGGAAGGAGGAGTGATTGTTTTTGCTTAGGGGCAGGTGCCTCAGAACAGTGTCCGGGAAGGGATGGCCCTCAGGGAGCATGAGGGGTCAGTGTTGAGCTTGTCAGAGATTCCCGGGAATGTCAGTGGTCCCGATTATAGCATCAGGGCCTTTCTTGGCTCGGGCAGCTACATTAACCTGCTCAGGCTGCCATAACAGAATGCCACAGACTGGGTCATTAAACACCCAGCACGTATTTCCTCACTGTTCTGTAGACTGGAAGTCCAGATCATGTGTTAGCAGTTTGGTTTCTTCTGGGGTTTCTCCTTGGCTTGCAGACCACAACTGTGCCTCTTCACGTGGTGTCTGCATATGCACCTTGGTGTTTGTGTCCAACCTCCTCCTCGCCCAAGGACACCACTCAGACTGAATGAGGGCTCACTCTAATGGTCTCATTTTAACTAAACTCACTAAAGGCCTTAGCTCCAAGTATAGTCATGTTCTGAAATCTTGGGGGCTGCGGCATCAGCATGAATTTGAGGGGGACACAGTTCAGCCCATTAGAGTAGCCCCTGCAATGCTGCCCTCAGCGATGCTCAGCAACATGCTGCTCTTTAAAAATTCTGTTCATGCTTTGGAACCACTAATCGGGCTGCTCTCGAGGCCACGAGAAAGGAAGCTGGGATTTTGCTTCACTTGTCCTGGGTGGATGTGTTCTCTCAGGAGGCTCTCTAGTTCCTGAGAAGGGCCCCAGTGTTCTAACAGTAATAAACATATAGGCAGATCTGTTACCTGCACTCTGTGGAACCCAGGCAGCTTACCACTCACCCATCCTGAGCGATGCCCATCTCCATGTTCTGTGCTGCTCATGATCGGGGCCCCAGACTCCTGAGCCATCCTGATGCTGCAGAGGACAGCTGACAACCCCACAGGGCGTCCCTTAGTGCATGTCCCTGTGGCCCTCAGTTTTCTGGGCTAGCTATATTCCAACTAGGTTTGTGAGAAGAGTTTTGCCAGTTTTTAAATATATGCAGTAACTGCGTCAAGTGCCGCCATTATTAGATGTCAAGTGTTTAAGCCGTGGGACCCTTAGGAAAAGGTCTGGTTCCCTTCATGCAGCCTGCCTGGCCGTGCTCAGCCCTTAGAGTCCAGCTTAACTGCAGTTACTGTAGCACAGCATTGGCTGTTCAGAAGCTCAAGAAAGAATTGTCATGGCTCCTGGGTACAGATGTTTCCTGGCGCACTTTCCATCCAGTTAGAGGGTTTTGTGACGCTCTTGCCGACTCGTACTGAAGCCTCTCTTCCTGCCCCGAATTGAGAGGTGGGCTGTCACGCAGGATTGCTGCTGCACGGAGGTGATGCGTTTATCTTCATGGGACTCTCGGCCCAGGAGGTTTTAGGCTTCGGTGTACCTCCATCCCCTGTGTTTTCTTACTAGAGAGCCACTGCACTTACTGTGTTGTAGCCTCAGGATAAAGCCAGCCCAGAAAAGCCCCTGCTCTGCTCACTGTCCTTCTGTGACTTTGGGCCTTTTCTTTTCCTTCTGGAAGCCCCCATCTCAGGATTCTTCCCTGACTACAGCAACCCTCGAATTCTTCCCAACCCTCATGGCCCACAGTGGTCCCCAGGGCGTGTTTCACTCTGCCATCATCACTTGGCACCTCCTTACTGACGGTGCCTCGACTCCCAGCCGGGTGGTGGTCAGGTGAGCAGGACTGTGCTCCGGGGCCTGAGAGGGCAGCCTACACGAGAAAGTGACCCCCTGCAGCCCTCTCTCTCTCCCCACCCTCCTCTTTCCCAGTAGGAACGAAAACAAGGTGTTCTGACTGCTGACAAATACCGCCGTTTCTGCCACGGGAAATCAGGAAGTGTCCTGGAAAGGAAACTGCTAGCGCTGGCCCACAGCCTGCGAGGCAGGTCTGCGGCTGGCAGACGGAGCCTGTCCCATGTTTGGGTGAAAAGCCAGCCCTTTGTGTCAGTCAAGGGCCTGCCTCGCCTCACAGCCTCTTGGTGTGTTAGTTAGAGATAGACCCAAGCACCCAGTAGCTTTTTCTTACATTCTTTTTCTTCCAAGTTTAAATCCAGTCAAAACCACCAGGAGTGTGGGAAAATATGGGAGGTATAGAGTCTAGGATGTGTGTAAGCATCCCTGACAGGAAACTTTGAGAAAGAAATCAGCAAGTCCAAAGTCAGAAGTGGACCAGGAGGAATTAAACACTGTGTGAGCCCAGATCCATGGGGCAAGAAGGCTGCCTGGGAGCCATGTTGTGGAAGGTGGCTCTGTTGAGCACTGTCCCTGTGCCAGCAACTTTTACACATGGCCTCACTTGTCCCTGCCCAGCCCTTCACAAACTGGGGTTCCAATCCCCATTTCCCTTTTGGTGGAGGCGTGGAAGCCTCACGAGTTCAGATAAGTTGCTCCAGGTCATGTGGCTGTAAGTGTCAGAACTAGGCTGTGAGCCCGAACACCTCCTCCCGGTCCCATGGCCTTGAGGTTCACCTCGAAGAGCACAGCTCTCCTCGCCAAGTCCCCATTTCCCCATCTGCACATCAAAGACCTGCCCACCTTCCCCTGCCCCCATGGCCACCCCTCCCCCCACACACATTAAGTTGTCTGTCTTACTCTTCCTCTAGTGACAGGAAGAGGTCCCCAAATCCAGGCTCTTGGAGGCCTAGGAGGATGCTGCAGCCTCCCGGTGGCCTTTCGACACATGACTTAGAGCCAGAGGGGTGGCATGAAGCACCCTTCTCCTTGGGTAAAAAGATGATACTCTTCAGAACCCTCCAGACGTGGCTGTAATACACACTCTCTCCCCACAGTCACCCAGGCTCACCCTCCACCATCCCCACTGGCTGTCTTCAGGACTGAGGTGGCAGGCAAAGAAGGAAAGCAAGCTCTGTCGGTGCTGGGCCTTGGGTCCCTTGGCCTGTGCTCAGCTTCCACCCAGTCGTGGCTTCCTGGAGCCTGGCCTCCCCTTCTGATGACTAAGTGACAGACTGCATGGCCATGAGAAGCTGGAGCTCCAGAGCCAGGCACACCTGGTCAGACCCTGACCTGCCGCCTCCAGGCTCCATGGTTTTGGGCACTGCGCACCTGAACTCAGTTTCCGCCCCTGTACAGGAGACGGGACAGCATCCGCCCCTCAGGTTCTTTGGGTTGGAGGTGAAAGGTGCACAAAGCACTGAGCCCAGGGCCTGCACCGGGGAGCCTTCTGTGGAGGTACCTTGGGCCTGGAAGCTGCACGAAACCTCTCTTAGCAACAGTGGAGGCAGAGAAAGGTTCTCTACTGGGGTCCCAGCCCTCATTCTGCTGTGCTTTGTGATGGTCCGCCTGCACTGAGAGGCGTAGGGCTGAGCTGTCATGTCTGCTGCTGTCTGCCCAGTACCTGGCACCTAGCAGCCTGCTTGTTTTCTCCAAGGAAAATCATCCCACATGCCCAGATGATACTGAGCTTAAACTCGCCCACAGAGCCTGGCTCTACCCGCAGAGCATCGTTGCTGGTAATTGCTTTAGAACTGATATTTTGTGGTCAAATGCTTTGGGCAGCTGTTACGGCTTTGTCACCAACCAGGAGATTTGATGCCTGCTATCTCAGAAACAAAATGAGAACAGGATATGGTCATGATGGTTAAGGTTAGGAAGCCATGTTGCGCTCGGGTTAACCCAACACCTCTGCTCCCGACAAGTAGAGCCGGCGGGCACCTCGGGCCCGGCAGCTGCACGGAACCTCTCTCAGCAACAGTGGAGGAGAGAAAGGTTCTTCGCTGGCGGCCTAGCCCTCACTCTGCTGTCCACGCTTTTGGCAGGTATTAGTCTCTGAACTAGTTTCCTTGTCTGCTAAACGCTGTTGGCAGTTGCCGTGAACCAGGGATTCGGTACGTAGAGGCGGTGCTGCCTGTGGAGCCCCTCGGGAGAGAAGGCTGGGGTGAGCACCCTGACCAGTCCTGGGCCTCATGCTCTTTGCTCTGCCCCTACCCCTCCAGTGGAGGCAGCTTCGGGATTTTCTCTCCCACAGCACCATTTCCTCAGTCCAGAGTGCTCTCAGAGATCACCTGGGCTTCTCCCAGGCAGCCTCTGGCATCAGGGTCACCCTGTGTTCACATGGGATAGTGCGTCCATCTGTGGTCTCTACCAGTGTTGGAAACATGGTAGGGAAAAGCACTTTCTTTACCTTCAGACTCTGAGGCCACACCCGAGGCAGACTGGACTGGACCAGGGCCCACATCCAACCTGGCCCCCTGCCTCTTACATGATGTGCTGGTGTGTGTGAGCAGAGGGGAGAACTGGGCGGGGGAGAAGAGCAGGTCTGAGACTGGAAACTTAGACTTCAGGGCTGTCATGTGGATGGAATGAAGTCAAGATGCAAAAGCCCTGTGACCTGCATGGGCTGTGCCAGTGTCTGTTGCCAATAATGAATGGTGTGTACCTAGGGGAGGAGTTGGAAAGTCATATCTACTGCCAGGTGTCGCAGGTAAGGGCCCAGAGAGTGTGGGATCCGTGAGTGACCGATGAACAGGAAGGTGCAGCTGCTCTGCTATTCCTGGGGACAGGTGGGCAGGTCTGCTAGGCTGTGGAGGGGCCGGTGCTGGGTCTACTCTGTCACCATATATTTGACCCCCTTTACCCTCTTCAACCTCCCCTGACACCACTTCCCCTCTGGCAACCACCACTGTTGTCTTTGTCAGTGAATTCTGTTTGTTCATTTGTTGCTTTCCAGTTTATAATTCCATGTAGTAAGTGTCCTTTTCCATCTCCCTGACTTTGCTCAGCATGATACTCTCCGGATCCATCCATGCTGTCACAGATGGTGGTATTTCACCTTCTATGGCTGAGTGGTAGTGCTAGTTCCTGCGAGAAAGAGCAGTAACTCTGCCATTTCGGAGCCCTCCTACCCAAGAATGCAAACTGCTCAGTGTTTTGTGGGCATTGTCTCAAGTCCACACGCCAGCCCTGAGAGGTCAGCGGTGCTATGGTCCATGTTTCACCAAAATGAAAGAGGTGAAGAGATTACCATCCAGTCTTACCAACTAGTGAGGGACAGAGCTGGGATTCAGTCCTGGTCTATCTGAACCTCAAAACCACACTATCCAGACAGTTCTGGCTCGAGTCCCCTGTACTCTCTTTAGCTGTTGTCAGCTGGTTCTCTATTTCAGTGAGTGATTTGTGACTCATGAACCAGAGGCAACTTTAAGCCTATTGAGCAGATAGGATCCAGTAGACACGCACAGTGTCTGGCATTAATACCCTGCCTCATTCTGTGACCACATCATGGACTTTAAACAAATGCACCTCACATTTTGGGCAGGAGGTTAGAAACCACAGCGAAGAAGCTGGGTGGTTTTCACCGGTATAGTCCACTTCCTTGGTAGAGCAGTGCCCTGAAAGTCTGCAGTTTTAACTCAGCTCTTGTTCTCTGGGCCCACAAATAATCTCTTGATACATTCCCGGCATACAACCTGAAAATAGAAGGGGCCCAAGGGACAAAAGTAGTTTGGAGACTTTTAAAAGTTTTATTTCTTAGTCATGAAAATCATATGCTGTTTGATATATGTGTATAAGAATTATATATACATATATGTGCATAAAGAATTTGTATGTGTATGTGTGTGAGAGGTGTATGATAATTCAGTTTTAAAATGAGCAGACCCACCAAAGACTCCATCTCAGAAACAATTCTTAGATGCATGATAGTCTTAAACTCAGCTGTGCACAGTTTTCCAGCATTCTGTGGACCACTGGAACTCGTGGCCAACTAATTTGTTATGGTCTGTTCATAGTCCCTGATGCTAGTCCTTCCAGAATTAATCTCAGAATAAAAGCATCTACCTGTGTAAAAGTCAAACGAAAGGGGAGGCCTCATCTGTGCAGTGCCTGCCTATTGAGGTCAGAGCCACATGGGCCAGCAGTTTCATCGCCGCTCTCATCCCTGCCTCCCAGTAGCCAGAACAATCTTCTGAACTCAGGAGATTCTGAACTCAGTGTCTCCTGCTCTCAGCAGCTTTGTTTGTCATGCTCCCCTCTTCAACCTTCAGTCTGTCTCAGTGAAGGAGGACCTGAGGTTTTTAGAGCCACACGTCATTCCCCTTGGTGTCAGGATTCTTGGGGATGGAGGAAGGAATCCCCTTACTGTGTTTAGACTCCCCTTTGAGCTTTAGGCCTGGGTGTTCACGGAGAGAGCAGATGTGTTCATGCCCGAGAAGAAGCATTGCACACCAGCTGCAGCATTTGGTTACTTACTTCTCCATGAAAATGCACAAAGCTATAAACAAAGCCTTCCTCATTGCAGCCAGAGGACACAGCCACCTGTGCTCCCGCAAGTTTCCGAGCAGCGTCTCCAAGCCCCGCAAGACCTACAGCTGGGACATGCTGGTGGCCTCCGCGTGCTGGGAGGTAGAAAACATCTTGGAAGTGCCCTCTGAAGACTTCTGCTGGCTTGAGGCCCCCAGGTAAGGGAGGCAGCCAATGTCTTTCACAAGTTGCCAGAAGTTCTTCCGAAACTTCAGGCCAACAAAGGCATAGAGCACAGGGTTAAGGCAGGCCCGCAGGTAAGCAATAGCCTCCGTCACTAGGATGGCATAGTGGTAGCTGGTCATGACGTGGTACTCCCAGCTTGTGCTGCCTATGAGCTTCACGAGGGTGAAGGGCGTCTGGGTCAGCAGGAACACGGCCACCACCAGGAAAATGATCTTGAGAGACTTGTGGTTCTGGAAGCCTCGGGCATGAAGCAGGGTCTTGATTATGACTGAGTAGCAGACAATCATGGTGAGCAGTGGCAGGAAGAACCCCAGAGTCATCTGGGTAGCAAGAACCACAGTGGAAATCTCCTCATCGTGGTAGCCACAGACCCACTTGTCAAAATGGTGGATGTTGCCATAGATGATCTGTGGCAAGGAAAGCAGCAGGGAGACCACCCAGATGCACCGGCAGATGGCCTTCCCCCAGGTCATCCTCTTCCCCTTCTGATTATAGGCCTTTGTGGCCCGAACCACTGCGATGAAGCGGTCCACGGTGATGCACACGAGGATCAGCATGGACGTGTAGAAGTTGAAGGTATAGATGCCCAGCAGGATCTGGCACATCAGCTTGCCGAAGACCCATTCGTGGATACCTGCATAGGCCCAGAAGGGCAAAGTGCAGACGAACACCAGGTCGGCCAGGGGCAAGTTCATCAGGAACACGTCTGTCAGGCTCTTCAGCTTCTGGTAGAAGATGTATATGACCAGCACCAGAGCATTGCCCAGCAGGCCACAGATGAACACGGCCAAGTACATGCAAGGCAGAAAGAGCTGCTTGAACTGCAGGAAGTTACTGTGCCCTTGGCTGCTGGCATTGGAAATGTTGAGCTCGTTGTATTCATTGTAGTCATAGTAATCCATAGTGTCTGTTCTGACAAACACCTGTGAGTCAAAACACAGGAATTATATTTGGGGCTGAGGGTCCACACCTGGCTTCCCATTGTCCCCTTGCCCACATTTAGGGGGCAAATAGTCATCTCCTAAACCCACCACTGTTGAGCTCTGAACCTGCTCAGGCTAGTACACTGGAGATCGCCAGTTCAACGGGGAAATTGTTCAACGGGGACAAGGAATTCCTCATTAATCCTGCAGTTCTTAGCATGTCACCCATCTGGGAGACCACGCATGATCTCTAAAGTCGTGTATCAGAGGGCACCTGTGGTGAAGTGGGGACAGTGCTCTTTGGAAGAACAGCATAGCAGGGCCTGTCTATACCTGCCCATGCCTCACGGCACCTGCCCGCCCATCCTGTGTCCCATTTGCTGTAAAATTAGACCCCGAACTACTCGTTGTGAAAACTAAGGCACATATTCCCCTCCCAGGGGGCCCCTCCCTGGTCAAGGAGGCTGGAGACCAGGAGGTGTATAGAGGGTGGCCAGGACTCTTCTGCCTCGGAGGCCATCCCACCTCCCTTTCCTTGCTCTCAGTCCCATAGATCTTACAAGAATGGATAGAAAAACAAGGCATAGAAAAGCACTAGGCTGCCCAGTACTTGGGCTGAGCTGGCCCCCTGACCAGGGAATGGGAGTTCTCCTCACATCCCAACCCCAACCCCAGCTTTCCCCTTCATCGCCTTTCCCAGTTACGATATGGCACCATTGGAGCCTCAATTCCTGAAGTTTTCTTGACCTTCAGGCATCTCTTCAAAAATAGGTTTCCCCTGAAGGGACCATGGCTCTCGTGTTTAGACCAGCAGTCTAAGCTGAGTGGTCTCCTTTAACAAGTGAAGACCTGGTTGAAATGAGATGCCAGCTGGGCGGGTGGCCAGACGCTGGTGGCTGGCCTCACAGTGAGGCTTGTAGCAAAGCCCAAATAGCTGTCTTTTTTGCCTGCGGCTCAGCCCTTCAAGGCCTACACACTTTCCTTTAACCATTCTCTGTCCTGTGACCCTGCTGAGCACTACAAGCAGGACACAGAGATGATGTAACCCGTGGCGTGGGCGTGGACGCCTGTAGCAGCACCAACCTTGGAGTGCCAGTGCCTATAGATTGGCAGCACACAGTGGCTCATTTCTAGGCACCTGGTGCCATACCTTGCCAGGACCTCAAAAAGATAGTGTTGTTATCTTTAACTAAAACACAGGTATTCTCTATTGCATATTTCAAAGTAGGAAGGAGGCAGATATTTGGATTAGCAAAGTCAAGGTATCAACCGGCCAGACACAGGCATGTAAAAGGAGACATCATCTCTCCTGTCTGATCTCAGAGACTTTCTGACTGGCAAGGGCCTCGGCCCTGGTGCTGCTGCTCTGTCTTTCCAGGGAACAAAGCGCCCTTTCTCTGCAAGGAAGGACCTTGCCTTTGGGTGATACTAAGTAAAAAGTCCCTGCTCCTAGACCACAGAATGATAGCTCTCAGAGTGGTAGGCCAGCTTGCAGGCATGGTCCCCTGCCAGCTCCCCTGGCTGCGGGGTTAGGCAGGTCAGGTGACGGGTGTGTGTGTCTGTGCCTGCTTCCCATGGGGCAAAAACTTGATTTTTCATCATTGAGAAGATGAAGCAGGCAGCTTTGCTTTCCTTAAGAGTAATGTCAACTTTATTCTTGACTTTTTTAATCTTCCTATTAATGACTATTGCTGGATCCTTACGCTAACGTTACCTGTCTCCTCAAAGAGCCCGTGCAGGCTCATTTTTGGTAATTAATGAACTTTAAGAGTCTTAACAGATTGGGACTGCACAGTTCTGTGCAGATAGAGTATAAAAAGTTACTTTCCCTTCTAGAAATGGGAAAACACTCACTTCTATAACCAAAGTCTATGTTGATTTCTGAAAATTAAAAAGAAAGTAATATATGCAGCTTTGGAGGTAATGTAAATGTCTGATAATTTAAAAAATAAGCTAATTGTAACTCAGACAGAATGGAATATAACTAATGTTTAGGAAGTGCTCTTAATATTTTGAAAGACATGATACTTTTAAATTCGCTCAAGAGCATGTAAGCACAGAATTAGTATCATCTGTTACTGTTACGGTGAGTAGGTGACCAGGGATATAGAATTGATCATGGTTCTTAACCTTTGATCAACCCCTTTGAGAATCTCAGAGGCCACAGACCTTTCCTCAGAAATATTATACACACCTGCATTCTGGGGGTTCGTGAGCCCGCTGACTGCCACATATTGACAACCCTAGTTTAAGAATCCATGATAAGCAATAGGGTTTTTACTATATTTTTTAAAACAGAAAAATGACCAGGTTTTATTAGCAGTTCGCTCTGGCTGGTGGAATTAGGAGTGACTTATTTCCCTCATATTTTCCAAAATTTCTGTAGTGGTAAACCGTATTCTGAGATAGCAGCCTGTCTTATTAAATGCGAAAGAAACAAAAACAGAAAGGTCATTCAGTGAACAAACATAGACAGTGACTCTCCTCATCTCCCCAGAGGGTCTGACTGTGCCAATTACTCCCGAGACCTTCACTCACAAGCACTTACTGTGTGCCCAGGACCGGTTAAGTCATTTCCCAATCCTCTGGCCCTCAGCAGCAAACGGCAGAGATGGAGTTTGAACCTAGAGCAGTTGTGCTTTAAAGCCTGGGCATCACCCCGGACTGCTGCCCGAAGGAATCAGGGAGAGAGCCCTGGCTTTTACCTATAAGGAGGAAAACAAATGACTCACCCGCAGCAATACTCTGTCGGTTTGTTCCAGAAATGAGCTTCGCCCAACAGCAGGGCCTACCTCTGCCTCTGTGATGTGGTCCATGTTTCCGCTGAATAGTTTTGAAGAACCCTCGGTTGGTGATTGAAATAGACCCAACCCATCTTGCAGATCAGAATTCACATGACCAGCCTGCACCCATGTAATTTGGGGTCAAAGATAGGTAGCTGTGGCTCCGTTACTGAGAACCCCCTGTCCCCTAGCTGGCGACTGACTCTTCTGCCAGGAGTGAGAGGGCCTTTATTTATAAACTGAAGGGAAGCAATAAGTATTTCTGTCTCTGGCAGTCCACTGATGATGGCATTTGTACCTTAAAATCATTCACTAGTCATGCGTCTTTTTGGAACAGTTTGGGCCTTGACCAATGCAGAGTCCATGCTCTGACCTGGGTTCTCTGATTGCTTGCAGCTCCAACGTGGTAGCCACTGATTCGCAGACCTGCAGAGCAGGTGTCCCCATTTTATAGATGAGAACACTGAGGATCATAGTTGAACTAACAGCCCCACGTACACACAGTTCAGAACTGGCACTTCCAGGCTACAAACCCAGTTCTCTGTCATTGCCAAGACCAATGAGCCAGATGACTTCTTGGTGACAGCAGATCTGCCCCCTAAACCCACACCGCTTGGGCCCCTCTGTGGGCAGTACTTACCCACCCTACTTATCCCGGCCAGAATCATCTGGTTTTCTGCACTGCCCTCTCTATTTCTGCAACTCCCTAGATATTGAACACCTTGATTGCATTATAGTTCTAGTTGGTCTCCATGGTCCAAAAATGCTGGTACTTCTGGGAAATAACACGTGGAAGGCAGGAGTTGGAGGAATGACTGCCTGGGTCACAGTCCCCAGTGCCTCTGTGGGGAGGATACTATACTAGCTAGAAATGTGGACTCCATTTCTCCTCTCCTGGAAGCAGCTACCCTCTCGCTGAGTCACCAGGCCTCCCTTCCCTGATTCTGCACTCCCGTCCAGCTTGTTTTCTGCCAAGGCTGGTACTCTGCCCTACCTGCTAGGCAGACCCTCTCCTGTGGCTCTTCCTGAGGGCAGGGTGTCAGGCATTGGGAGCAGGGGCCAGAAGCAGCCCAGGGTCTAGAGACTAAACAGGCTCAGTTTGACTAGGATTCGGGCCCTGGGCTGGATGTGTCTGCGTACAGCCATCTAATTCTCGTCACAGATGTTTTTTGCCTAAGAACATACCTGTTCCCAGGAGTTACCCAGGACCTCACTGGCTGTTCCCTGTGCTCTTTCCGAATATGGGACAATCCTAGGGGCCCTGATGAAAGATCTGAAGATGTCTAGTGGATTTCAAGTCTTTTTTGAATGAACTGGTTCAGACTATTCTTTCCACCAAACCAGTGCAAATGAACGAGGTGTCCCTGAGGGCAGGAAGCATTATGTAGTGTGGAATGTAGATGAGTCCAGGGGCCTATGGACAGACAGATGAGCCAACGGAGAGGCTAAACCAAATGCTAGGGGGAGGTGGGCCAGAGTACCCATCCTTCTGAAAGACGTCTTTTGGGACAAGACATCCCTTCACAGTGAGGCAGCCTGACATTTTACAATCTTCAGGCTTTGAGAGATGAGTTTTTTTCAGGGATAAGCCGACCATGTCACTTAGGATCAGTTCATGAGGCAGAGTTTGAAGGACCTGAGCCTTGTCTCACGCACTCAGCTGTGCTCTTCGTGCTTAGTGATGATGACCTGTGCTCCACGGGGAAGCCGGGTCTCGACCTGCTGCCCTGCACACTGCGC